AGGGAGGGGAAAAAGGGCCGGGGACCCCCTGGTTTGCATTGCAAATCAGGCATGTGGGAAAGGGAAGTGGGAAGGTCTTTTTTTTTTTNTTTTTTCGTCCCGCATGCGCAGACGCAGGAGAGTGGCGGCGGCGGCGGCGAGAGAAGGGGAAGGGGGTGGGCGTTGGGAAAAAAAAAGGGGGGGGGGGGACAAAATTAGTTTGACAATGACTTTTCTGTGCATGCAACATTGGAATGTTGAGTCTATCTTTTCCTACAGCTAGTACTACGTACTACTACGTACTACGTACTACGTACAAGAAGAGAGCGAGCAGCAAGCCCCCATGGCGCGAAACGCCAATGATATCTCCCCATTTGATATTATCAAGACCATACAAGAACTTGACCAGGTGCCGATGCCTGCCAGATCAATAAACCGGAAGAAGGAAAAAAAAAAAAAAAAAAAAAAAAAACGTAAAGTAAACAAGACCCTAGGATGTGCTTATCTTTTGTGCACTTTTGTCGTCTAATCGCTTCCCAGGATGCCACTTTCCTTGAGACTGGAGAAGAGCTCGGGCTCGAGAAACTTGGCCACGCTAACGTCTTCGCTTAAACCTTTCCTCCTCCGCGTCTTCAGAACAAAGTCGCGAGCTGTGGCCTGAGCACCTGCCGGTTCGAGCGGTCGCAAAATGACGTCTTTGTCGAGCGGGTCACCAGGAACGATACTCCACCGGTCAAAGACCAGACTGAGCGTGGCCTGTCCCTGGGTATGGATACGGAGATCGGTCTCGAAGCCAAAGGAGTCGATGACTGGAATCAGTCCGGACACGCGGTACAGTGGTGTACCAGCAATTGGGCCATCCGAGAGGACGTGCCCTCGGCGGCGGGCGAGCACTGTGTAGAGAGATGTGACGGAATCGGCTGGTCCGGTCATGGAGCAAGAGTAGACTGGCTCCATAAGTCGTGGGGAGGCCATAAGGAAGGAAGAGTAGCAGGCTCGTCGGGAAGTGGGAATGATCTGGCCGCCGCCCCGGAAGATCGCTTCGGAAGCCAGTGTGACCTCCATGACCTTAAATCTGCCGTTGCGGATTGCTGCAAGGATGTTAGATACCATTCGGATCGTCTTCAAGATTGACCACTGAATGTGAGCACCTCCTCTGACCCGTGACGGAGCAGGCGATACAGATACGGAATGTGGAGGCTTACGTTCTTCACACAGGGGACCCTCTCGAGTTGCCCAGCTGAAACCCTGACGAATCGTGTCTCTGACACTTTGTAACAGTCTTCTGTCGACCTAGAGAGGCGGTTAGCAGAAGGGACTGGACTTCGAGGCGGGCATCCGAGAACTCACTTCGGAAGGCAGTGTGTCATTCTGCAAGATGTTGGGTCCCAAATCATCGGGCCCGAAAGCCCAAATATTCCTCGATGCTAGCAAATCCCATCCGTAGTTGTCTTCAAAGAACTTGCCAATAACCTTGTTGGGGCTCTTGATGCTGACTTTGCCACTCTCAATGTCTTCAGCAATGCCCTGGTCCAACGGCTCGGCAATCATAGTAATCTTGTTCCGCTTATTGGGCGTTTGTGCATAGCACTTGATGGCCGACTGCTCGACAACCGTTTCACAGAACCGTGTAACTGGATCGGATACTTTGATCTCCATATCGGCGTACAGACGTCGAAGGTCGTGTAGTACGCAATCCATGTACAGCTCCCCAGTCCCAAGAATGACATGCTCTCCAGATTCCTCAACTTTCGTCGTGATCAGAGGATAGCTCTTGTTGATCTTTCTGAGGCCGTCCAACATCTTCGGCAATTCCGAAGGGTTGATTGGTTCCACGGCCACCTTGAACACCGATTCTGTGAAATGTGTAATGGGCTTGAAGATATACGCATCCTCTTCGTCCGGCAAAACAGGGGGTACTAGTGTCGCTGATTTGACGATGGAGTTGTCAACTCCTCCTAATAGAACCCAATTTCCTGCTGGCACACCATCTGTCGGGATGCTATACCGCGTCTCAGCGATCCATACGTCTGATATTGTTGCCATGGTCATATCTTCCTCGTCATCGATAGAGTAGCCTTCACCCAGGACTCTGACCTGCGCGCCAGGCGTGGCGGTGCCACTCATCACTCGTCCGAACGAATGGAATGATTTGGCATCACTTGTATTGAACAACTTCGAGATTTGGATAACCAGAGGACCATCTTGTCTACACTCTTTCATTGCAGTCGCAACCTTGGTATCAGTAGGGCCAGTGTAATATCGCTGAACCTTGTCTTCGGCAGACTCGACTGGCGAAGGGATATGTTCAACAACCATATCAACGAAGCCATTCGATCCTCCAAAGAACCTCTCGCAAACAAGCTTTAAAAGTACGTTGGCGTCTGTCTTATATTGGGAAGGCTTGAGAATTATTCCAAGGGTCGCCAGGGTGTCTCTGAGGTCCTCGGGGCTTTCGCTGATGGTGTGGGAGAACAACTTATAGATGGGCTCGAGAATGAAGTTCACAAAAGAGCGCTTGGCTCCTTCCTCCACCGCTTTCCGGGTAAACGATCGTTTCCTTGGATTGTAGAAAATGTCCCCCCAGAGTCGTCTTGCAAATTCTGGAACGTTGATTCCGGCGGCACCCTTAGTTTTAGGTGGAAAATTGTCGGCATACATCTTCGCAAACGATTGCAGAGTGAAACACCATCCCATGCTACTGCATGCGAACAGTACATTGCCCTTCTCTGGACTCAACCTCCTCTTCTCTCCTTGGCCAGGAATGGTGGCCTCAATCACAGTATTGACTTCTTCAATGACATGCTTCAGCTTAAAATAAGCGTCTGTAGGCGGAAGTTTCAGCTCCAAAATTAACCGATCCATCTTGTTTACTACGAGCGTCAGAGGCAATCCTTCTAGAACTGCATGCTTGATGATCTGCTCCGTGTTAACCTGTACACCTTCAACCACATCGACAACGAGAACCACACCATCAACAAGTCGCAGGGAGCATGCGACTTCGTCGACGAAATTGACATGGCCTGGAGTGTCGAGTATGTTGAGGAGGTGCGATTTTCCCATGGTATTCTGCAGCACCAAACTCATAGGTGCCGATTTGATCGAAATCCCTCTTTCCCGCTCTAACACATGTACATCCGTGTATCTCAACTGCTCGTCCCTCTTCTTGCCCGTCTTCTTCTCTAATCGATCGGTAATGTCGTGAGTCTCGAGAACCAACATGTCCATAAGAGCCGTCTTTCCGTGGTGAAGATGCCCAGCAAAGGCAACATTTCGAATCTGTTCCGGGTAATTCATAAGATCCGTCATGAAGTTCCGCTCGAAAAACACCGGGGGGAGATCCGCTTCCTGTATGGTAAATTTCTTTTGCTCAACTGGCGCAATGATCGGCTGGGTCAGAGGTTGCGCGTCCTCCTCCTGTACCATGGTTTCAACATCCTCTCCGTACACCTGCTGCGCAGTGGGATAGTATTGCTTGTCCTCGTGCAATACAACGGCATTCGAAGGTCCCTCGTCTGCGACAGGCATCAGTTCTGCGATTGACACAGCAGAGACAGAAATGCACTTACCATCGACCTCCATAAGCTCCTGGCCGGTTACCTCTGGCTCCTCCTCGGGGTATTCTTCATCATACACGTAGGCGCCAGCGTCAACGCCATGCTGGCTGTCGTCCTCGGATTCCTCAGCTTCGCCGATGAAGTTACCGAACCTGTAAATTCGTCAGTCGCATGATAACTTGAAGGGGTGTGGTAGATCCATACTCGTCGTAAAGGTCGTCTTCCATGTTGGGCAGATAAAGCAGAGAGGGTGGTAGGTATGTGAGTCGGGGTGGAAGATGGCTGCTAATTACAGTACTTTCTCTCTACTTTCACCCTCAAGACAGTCAACTCTTCGCGCGTCGCCTTGATCGCAAAAAGCTCGCGCCTTGAGCTCTCACCGCTAGCGCCAAACCTTAAAATTAAGTATCCGAAATAAATTGAGCGTGACATTTGTCAGCCTTGCCCCTCCTCCGATAGAGATAAGCTATTAATGTCTTTGTGAAAGATTTGTTTACATTGTGTTCTCTCAGATACGAAGTGGCTGCTTACAATTATGCACTCTTCCCGATCGAGCTCATATCATAAGCCTCCACGTCCGTTGTATGACTACCTTACCTAGCTTACATAGGCGGTGAAAGTGGTTGAGGGTTTTTATTTTTATATAAACTTTTTTGGCTTTGTTGCTTCAGTGGATTGAGCACTTATCAGCTACTACGTAAGTACCTACACTTCTCCTCGTAACTCCTTTGTTCCCCTCAAACTCTACCTACCACTCCTCTCTCTCTCTCTCTCCAACAATCTCACACTGCAACAGAACACCTCGTCAAGATGGCTTCCAATCCCGCAGTTTACATTGTCTCCGCTGCTAGGACCCCAATCGGATCCTTCTTGGGGTGAGTTTGCAATTATGCCAGACTTCAATGAAGATGTACTGATTATTCAGATCCCTTTCCAGTTTGAGTGCCACGCAGTTGGGCGGTATTGCAATCAAAGGTCAGGCCTAGAGACATTTAGATTACTTCCGAGTCAACTGACGTGCGGGTAGCCGCTGTTGAACGTGTGCCGAAAATCAAGTCCGAAGATGTCGAGGAAGTCTTCTTTGGAAACGTCTTGTCTGCCAAGTTAGTTCTGTTCCCGCCAAATCGTGCCCTGATTCTAAGATTCACAGTCTCGGCCAGAACCCTGCCCGTCAGGCAGCCCTCGCAGGAGGTCTCTCGGAGGCCACCATCGCCACGACAGTCAACAAAGTATGCGCCTCTGGCCTCAAGGCAATCATTCTCGGTGCCCAAACGATCATGACAGGCAATGCAGATATCGTCGTCGCTGGAGGTGCCGAGTCCATGTCAAACACCCCTCATTACCTTCCAACCCTTCGAAATGGCGCAAAATACGGAGACCAGACACTGGTTGATGGTGTCCTGAAGGATGGCTTGACAGACGCATACGGCAAGAAAGAGCACATGGGTCTCGCAGGGGAGTTGTGCGCCTCAGAGCACAGCATTACTCGAGAGCAACAAGACGACTACGCCATCAAGTCCTACCAAAAAGCCCAAAAAGCCACCGATGCCGGCCTGTTCAAGAATGAGATCGTCCCAGTGGAGGTCAGTGGTGGCCGTGGAAAGCCAAACATCAAGATTGAGAGGGACGACGAAGTCAAGAACCTCAATATCGATAAGCTGAAGGCCATGCGTCCTGCTTTCCAGCCAAATGGTGGCACCGTTACTGCTCCTAACGCAGCACCTATTAATGATGGAGGATGCGCTTTGGTGCTCGTCTCAGAGGCGAAGCTAAAGGAGCTTGGTATTGAGCCTCTGGCTAAGATTCTCGGATGGGGAGACGCAGCTCATGCACCTAGCTTGTTTACCACTGCTCCGGCACTCGCTATTCCTAAGGCTCTCAAGCACGCCAAGGTTGAAGCTTCGAGTGTTGACTTCTATGAGATCAACGAGGCTTTCTCGGTTGTTGCCTTGGCTAACATGAAGATCCTAGGCTTGGACGAGTCGAAGGTTAACATCCACGGAGGTGCGGTTGCTATTGGGCATCCGCTTGGATGTTCAGGGGCTAGAATCGTTGCAACATTGGTCAATGTTTTGAGGGAGCAGAAGGCAAAAATTGGCGTTGCGGGTATTTGCAACGGTGGCGGTGGAGCTTCTGCTATTGTGATTGAATCTTTGCAGTAGATAAGGCCATTGGAAGTAATTGAGGTGTCACACTCCATCCTTGATCTGAGATCTCTAGGACGAAGTATCAAAAGTGTTGCTAGCCTATCCACTTTTGAGTTTTTAAAAATTTGACAGCCTCTTTGTTCAGTTTCAAGGTCAAGGCATTTCTGAAAGCAGCAACCTAGCCCGTTACGCGATTTTAATCGCGACCATATCATGCCTGTGCAAGAGTCAGATTCAGATTCGAAGCATCTTTCACTTGAGAGCCGATGCTTCCCTTTTCGCTGTCATTAATCAAATACTACGTATAACAAGTGGAAATTGCCGAGAGCTATTCGACATCCACATCTCCCCTTCGGATAGTCCGATAGTCTGCCAGTGTGCTCCCTGATTAAACTTTCTGTACTGGATATCTGATCACACCTTGAGTATCACACCTTGAGTATCAGACCAATTTTACCAGACCAAGTTTACCAGACCAATTTTCAGTGCTTTATATCTTCCATATCCTTCCTGGGGTGATCTGCTTCATGTTCCATTTTTGAATCAGTATGTCATCTTCGGCATCTGCCGTGAGGAGCTGCTCTTCCTCCAAATATCCTCGTAGTAATCGGAGAAGATTGCGTTCGGGATCCAAAATCTTCTTTAGATATCCTGGTTCGATATGCCATATTCCATGACTTGAACATCAATGCAGGCACTGGCTGAGAGGTGTCCGTTATCCAAATCCCGTCTTTAGTTTGTAAGAATACCCACCCCACTACCCGTCTCGTCCCATTCCCGCTATCTCGCCATTCCAGCCTGCTCTGTGCCATTCTTCCACATCTTGGGCAGTGGTGCAGAAAGTTTCCATTTTCTATTATGACAGTCAGATATTATGCCGCTCTCGGGGTCATCACAGAGGCCGTATAGGATAACAAGTTATCGACAAGGCGGTACGAAGGACGTTGTCGGGCGTGTATCGGCTTCACATTTCTCCTGTAGTTTCTCCATTTGATAGTATGTAGCATGCTCATCCTCTATTCTCCAGATTGGAGACGAGACGTTCGTTCCGGGGTCTGTTCCTGAGAAAGGTAGACAGGAGTTCCCCCATGGCTTAGGCATCTTCCCTGGATGCGATAATAGAGATGGCTGATGAGAGGGCCGCAAATATGCTGGTGTGATAAGCAATATTGTAGTAGTCGTTAAACCCTCGTCTCCTCACTAGAGTAGTGGGGGGGGCAACTTTTGTTGTTGTTTGTTTAATTGATGTCGAGTATTTCGTTAAATACGAACGAGCTCAGCCTCGTCCCTAAGGCTAGACACCTGACAATGGAGGGAGGTACTTTAGCGCAAGGCTTATCGCAAAGTCTAAATAATCGCAGGTCGTTGGTGAAAAAAAAGTTCAGTGCAAGGAGTCCGCGCATCACGACCGAAACTCGCTCAACAAAATGCAGAGAAAAGAAGTGTATGTACAAATAATAGCAGTTGTCTTACAGGAAACATCTAACTTCGGAGTAGAGACTCGCGCATCCCAGCGCTCATGCGCAACGGGATTCAGGAAAAGAAGCGCAGCTTTTTCGTGGTGGTGGGAGACAGGCCAAAAGATGTTATTGTACGCCTCCATTACATCATGTCCCAATTGGACATGAAGACAAACAAATCGGTACTATGGACATACAAGAAAGAACTGCTGGGCTTCACGAGTCACCGAAAGAAGAGAGAGAACAAGATCAAGAAGGAGATCAAGAGAGGAATTCGGGAAGCAAATACTGAGGACCCATTCGAACTTTTCGTCTCGCTGCACAATATTCGATATACGTACTACAAAGAGACGGAAAAGATTCTTGGAAATACTTATGGAATGTGTATTCTGCAAGACTTCGAGGCCATAACTCCGAATATTCTTGCGCGGACAATCGAGACCGTTGAGGGTGGAGGATTGGTAGTACTGCTGCTAAAAGGAATGACCAGCCTGAAGCAGCTGTATACCCTGTCCATGGATGTTCACTCACGATACCGAACGGAGGCACATGACGATGTGACGGCCCGCTTCAACGAGAGATTCATATTGTCGCTTGGGAAATGCGAATCTTGTCTTGTAATAGATGATGAGTTGAACGTATTGCCAATATCCGGAGGCAAAAACGTTACAGCCCTACCACCAGTGAATCCCGATGAGCCACAGACCGAGTCGCAGAAGGAGCTGGAGAACATGAAGGAGAATCTGCAAGACACACCGAACTTTGGACCATTGGTAACACTAGCCAAAACAGTAGACCAAGCAAAAGCCCTACTCACTTTCGTGGACGCCATTGCAGAGAAGACGCTGCGCAGTACAGTCACATTGACAGCGGCCAGAGGACGAGGAAAATCGGCGGCTCTAGGTGTTGCGATAGCTGCAGCTGTAGCTCATGGCTATAGCAATATCTTCATCACATCCCCGAGCCCAGAAAACTTGAAGACCCTCTTTGAATTCATTTTCAAAGGATTTGATGCATTGGGATATCTGGACCATGAGGACTACTCTATTGTTCAATCGACAAACCCAGACTTCAAGAAGGCAATTGTACGAGTCAACATCCATCGGCAACATCGGCAAACGATACAGTACATTAAGCCACAGGATGCACATGTGCTTGGACAAGCAGAACTTTTGGTCATCGACGAAGCTGCTGCAATTCCTCTTCCCCTTGTACGAAAACTGATGGGACCTTTCTTGGTGTTCATGGCGTCTACCATCAATGGATACGAGGGCACAGGACGCGCTTTATCCCTGAAGCTGATCGAGCAACTTCGAAAGCAGTCTAGCGGTGTTGCGAAATCCAATGGAGATGAAAACACGCAAGTAAATGACCGCTCGACTGGGAAAGCTGCAAAGGTTCAGAGCGTATTCACAGGTGGTCGCTCACTCAGGGAAGTATCTCTGAAGGAACCGATTCGTTACGCCGCAGGCGATGGGGTTGAAAAATGGCTGAATACAGTTCTCTGTAAGTATATCGAGTCATCGTCCTCAAAATATTGAATCTCCTAGATTTTCTGGAGATGCGAGTTGGAGCAGCCTTGGGGAAATCGGAAATCCCACACCATGCTGACTTGTTATACCTAGGCCTAGATGCGACCCTCGGCCCCTTACGGAATGTGGGATTTCCTCATCCATCAGATTGCGAGCTGGTTCTTGTGAATCGCGATACCCTTTTCTCCTTCCACGAGGTCTCCGAAAAGTTTCTCCAGCAGATGGTTGCTCTCTACGTTGCGAGCCATTACAAGAATTCTCCCGATGATCTCCAATTGATGAGCGACGCCCCAGCACACCAACTTTTCGTTCTGATACCCCCTGTTTCCGAAAACAGCAAACGTCTACCCGAGCCATTATGTGTCATTCAAGTTGCATTAGAAGGTCAGATTAGCAAAGCGAGTGTTGCGAACAGTCTAAGTAGAGGAAAGAGAGCGGCAGGTGATCTTATTCCCTGGATTGTGAGCCAGCAATTTCAAGACGATGAGTTCGCAGGCTTGTCGGGTGCGCGTGTTGTCAGAATCGCCACGAACCCCAATTATGTTCGGATGGGATACGGCAAGAAAGCTCTCGAGCTACTTGTTGACTTCTATGAGGGCAAGTTTGCCAATTTGTCCGAGGATGCCGCTAGCTCTGTGGAACAAACAATAACCCGGGTAACTGATGAGGAGCTCGCTAATTCCTCGCTTCTCGACGACAACATCAAAGTCAGAGACTTCAAAAAGATGCCGCCTCTTTTCTCTAAGCTCTCTGAACGTCGACCGGAAAAGCTTGACTATGTCGGTGTAAGCTACGGACTGACAAAGCCTCTGCTCAAATTCTGGGGCCAGGCTGCTTTTGCTCCATTGTACCTTAGACAGACCGCGAATGAACTCACAGGAGAGCACACTTGCGTCATGGTCAGAGCCCTTGGATCTGGCGAAGAGATATCATGGCTTGGCTCTTTCTCCCGGGATTTCCAACATCGCTTTATCAAGCTTCTGCAGTACCAGTTTAAGGAGTTCCCATCCGAGCTAGCGCTCATCATCGATGAGCTCGCCAACAAGGGTGCAAAACTCGACACTTCACTTCAACCAAAGCGATTTTCCAAAGAGGATTTGGACCGGATACTGAATCCATGGGATCTCAAGCGGTTAGCTTCTTATGCCAACAATATGCTGGACTACCACGTCATTCTCGACCTGGTCCCAGATCTTGCGAAATCTTACTTCATCGGTCCCTTGAAGTCAGAAATCACGCTCAGTGGTCTGCAACAATCTGTACTTCTTGCCGTTGGATTGCAAAGCAAAGATTTCGACATGCTCGAGAAGGAATTGGAGAAGATCCAATCGGCACAACTACTCGCCTTGTTCATCAAGACGATGCGCAAGATGAGCACTCACTTCACCGAAATAGTATCGGGCGCCTACAAGCTGGAGCTGCCAGCGCAGGAAAACATTGGTGTAAGCCGCGAAGACGCCAGTGGAGCCCATGACGACGAGATTGTCGATAACAAATTCGTTCCTCTGGAGACCGGTCTGGAAGAAGAACTCGAGGAAGGTGGCGATGAGGCCTTGAAGGCCTTGAAAGAGAAGCAAAGAGAGCTGATCGATGCGTTGCCACTAGAGCAATATGAGATTGAGGCCGGGGCTCCGGGATGGGCGGCTGCTGAAGAGCAGGTGCGCAAGGGTGGAAAGAAGAATATGATTGTTAGTGTAAAGAGCGCGAAGTCCAAGAGGAAGGCAGATGAGACTGCTGCTGAGATTTATGCTAAGGAAATGGGGGATAAGGCGCATAAAAAGTCGAAGAAGGCTTCCAAGAAAGATAAGGCCTAGGCAGCGTTTGTACCGAATCTATAAAGTAATACCCAACATGAATTTTAAGACGTACGAGCGTTCCTATAATTGACGTTGCGTCGAGGCTTGAAACAGATTTGTTTACCAGCAGATCTGCACTCCAAACTCCAGTAGATAAAAGAAGCTACAAATTCGAATGAATCTTATCCTGGAGTCATCCCTCTCTGTATACTCATATCCTAAATCTCTGTACGACATCTAGAAAAACCGGAAACTAAGAGGGGGAAAATGTTGAGTCAAACTCACCGGCAAGAAGGTGCCACAAGACTTGTGATTACCAAGTACAAAAATCAACACTGCCCCTCCCCAAACTCACATTTCCAAATCCAGCAAAGAATCTACAGAAATGGCCGAAACACCAACCCCAAAGACAGAAAACTGGTGGGAGGCCTTCCCAGCTCCCCGAGCCAGATGTCCAGAGATGAGCGCGGATGAGCTCTACGCTGCCTTTGACGAAATGGATATCAAGAACGAGCCGAGATCGTTCTTGCTCGTTGACGTTAGGAGGAATGATTGGGAGGTAAGTGGGTGGGTAGAACACAATCCAGAGGCGTCAGGACATGCAAACAAATAGAAGACGCAGGTTAAAGGTATAGGTATTTCGTACTCATTCATTCGTGCAGGGCGGAACCATCAAGACGTCGCTCAACCTGCCCGCTCAGAGCTTCTACCAGTCTCGCAAGACGCTGCTGGAGCTTTGTGATAGGGCTTCGATCACGCGGGTTATCTTCTATTGTGGTAAGTATGGAAGGGCTGCGAGTCGACGGGGATTTGGGAGGACTTTGAATGCTGATGTCGTGAGTGGAAAGGCTCTTCGAGCGGAAGGGGACCGAGGTGTGCGGGTTGGATGCAGGATTATATCAATGATGTGTCCAAGTTTGGGAGGAAGAGTGAGCTTAAGGTGTTTGTTCTCCAGGGTGGAATCAAGGGCGTAAGTGTTCTCCTCCAAATTCATATTACTTTGTCCTAGTACCGCTTGACCGTCGTGTGCGCCCGTTCTTTGCTGAGGGACATCCTGCTGACCATAAGTATCGAAGTGGGTCAAAGATTTCGAAGGTTCAATGGTCGATGGTTTCGAGGCAAAGTACTGGGAGCAATTCCTGTAATCCAGCCCTTCGCTGCGCACCAAAAACATCGGGCAGAGAACCGGTATTCATTCATTGATTTTTTCCCATGCGTGAAATGGTATTTATCGAAGAGCCTTCCCCTCGCAAACGCCATAATTGATCCCAGAAACAGCAGAGACTTTTGACCTTCCCTCCGGCTGATCAGGTCCTCCCCACCAGCTCATATTTCGTGCTTCATTCCCGGTTCTCTCGTCCGCCGCCTATTCTCTCCAACGCCTCGAGCATCACAACGGAGTTTCCTCGAATGACCTGTAACACCAACATGAGCCCTCTCTCCCTTGTATGCAGTGTAGAGGGAGAACTAACCACCATGCCCAGCCTGACTTTCTCCCCACCATCCTTCTCCTCCACAGCATCATCCAGCACGATGTTCAGAAAGACCTACAATTCCAACACCATCAGCACAACTAACTTCCCACCGCAGAGTCCCCTCTCCAATTCTCCAAGATAGACATACATCGTATCCTCTCAAAATACCAATGACCTTCCGGGTTCCGTTCAGCTGCACGAAGAGCCGTTTATCGAGGTACTGGAGCAACAGGTCAGTCCAGCGCTGGCATTCACAGCAGTCATTCTTGTAGGCGTTGCGCTACTCGCGCGTGCGGCGCGCAGCACAGAAATCGCAAGCTTTTTAAATATACGGCATCAAGGCACATACCTTCTTGAGCTCGGGCTGAGCTTGAGGCATCTTGACAGTAGGTTTGAGAGTTCGAGGGTGTCCTCGGGCGTGGTGAGTCGTGCTGAGTGCTTTGGAAAGTTATGCGGCTAGTAGGCTGCGACACGTGACGATAAGGATTTCGATATTCAGACGTGAAGTCCCGAGGGTCCCTTGCGAAATCCGACTGTTCAGAGTCAAAAGTTCAGTGCAAAGCGGTCATGAAGTCTGCCTTTGGATCCAAGCGGAAAGCTCGCAAGATACAGGTTGATGAAGATGAGGAGGACGGCGCCAAAGATGTACAAGAGCCTGTGAACACTCGTAAGTACCCTGAAGCTATTACAGCTACGAATCCAGCTGATCTCGAGAAGCCAGCTGACGAGGCAACTCTAGCAAATACTGGAGGTCCTACCTCGCTTCTCGGTCGGAAAGCATTCAAGAAGTCTTCACTACGCCAAAGCATCGCCTTCGAGGACGAATCGCAAGATGGCGGCGATGCCACTGGGCTACAGGTTTCCAACAAGCCTACGATAGGACGATCAAGCTCTCTGATGAAGAAGAAACCGAGAACTTCGAGATTGTCATTTGGACCTGGCGAGATCATATCGGGAGATGCCGCAGAAGCATTAGAGGACGATGAAGCGTTCACACCGAAGAAACCAACTTTGGGCCGGCGAGTTATGGAAGGAAATGCCACCAAGAAAAACATTTCGTATCAAGCACTTCCTATGCGTACGAATGACGACGATGAGGAGCGGCCGACGTACAGCAAGGACTACCTAGAGGAACTTAAGAGCTCGACGCCTTCTACGCCGAAGGATTTGTTGGCCTTGCATGCTACAGCTGTGCATGAAGAGGGGCTTCATGCGTCAGAGCTAGAGGGTGCGATCATTGTTGATACGGAGGATAAATTCGCCAGTCCATCGTTCATACCTAGTGAAGCCGAGATACGGGAGAAGAAAGAACGGAGAGCGCGCATGGCTCAGGAAAAGGATTTCATATCTTTCAACGACGACGATGGTCAACATAGACAGGAGATCTCTCTTCTGCCGAGGAAGCCGAAAGGGGAGAGCCGATTGGTGAGAGAAGATGAGGATTTGGGGGAGGGCTTTGACGAGTTTGTTGATGATGGACGGATCTCGCTTGGCAAGAAACAGGAAAGAGAAGCGAGGAAGAGGCAAAGGAAAGAGATGGCTGATATGATTCATCAAGCAGAAGGCAGTTCAGATGAGGGGTCTGATGATTCGGAGGCTGAGAGGCGAGCGGCGTACGAAATTGCTCAGACTCGTGCTGGTATGGATGGCCTTCACAAGAACGAGGAGAGTGCGGAGGTTGGTGCTGCACAGATCCCTTCAAAGATCACGCCTTTGCCAGCGCTGTCCGAGTGTTTGGAGAGATTACAAACGACGCTGAGCTCCATGGAGCAAGAGCTGGCGAAAAGACATCGGCAGATGGAGGCGTCGAAGCGGGAGAAGGACGAGATTGCCGCGCGGGAGATGGAAGTCCAGGAATTGCTGAAGCAGGCCGGCAATCGGTATGCTGCGTTGAAAGCAGACACGAACGGCGCTGTTGCCAATCCTGCAAAGTTGGCGGCTCAAGCAAGCACAGGGGTTGCGATTCCTATGATTTCTGATAGAGGCTTGGAGAGTTTTGGGAACACCCCCATAGCCCAACCTAACGCGGAGGATGTAGGCTAGAGATACTAGATAAATGAATTCGAGTCGTGGACCGCCAGACAAAGAGTCCCGGAAAAAATTAAGCTTTAATTGGAAGAATTACCTACACCACTACATGGTATCTAGAAACCAGGTATCCACCTCCTCCTCTCTCTCCTCTTCGAATTTCTCTTCCCGGGCTTTATAATTGCTGCTTGAGGAAGGGCTAACAAAAACGCAATCATTAGTTTCCAATGTCTCAACCCTTCTAGAGCATCGGTAACTTACTTTCACCAACTGCCTTCGGCTGCCCAACCAAAATGATGTACTGTCCATCTAACTGATTCACTTGAGGTACGACAATCCTGTCCTCTGGCAACTCCCTCACATACTGTGCGTCCCGGTTAAGAGGCAAGAAAGTCCCACTAGTAGCATTGAGCGCGCGTCTGCCAACCTGTAGCATAGTCGACGGTGAAGAGCCATCTGGTCTCATCGCAACGAGCATTTTCCTGTTGACTACGCTAGCTATCAGTCAAGTCCCCTCACCCAGAAAGCACTACCCTTTCTCAGGAACCGCTGGGATACGTACAAGGAATATCCATCTCAGCGTCTACCTTTGAAAACGGCGCACTCGTATTAACGATCCACATGAATGAGTTCAAGGACACCGTATTGGCCGGCAGCGTACCCGGATTAACGCCCTCCTTAATCGCAACATTCATCTTCAAATCCTGGTCCGTCTTCACAGTGAAGCGCATCCCGTCGATAAACTCCGCGCACTGGTTGCCCGTTCCCCCTGTGAAATTAACCGTCCGTGTATCGCCTTGACCGTACTGCACGAAAATATTGGCGGAATCAACACTCTTACGCCCGACGATTATATACTCGCCTTCTATGGAGGTCATCTTGACGATACGGGTATTGTTCTCGCTGCGATGCACGTTGCGCGTGGAGTCATTTACGATCCATGCTTTTCCGTCAGGGGCTAGTGAAGCGACGTAGGTGTTGGACTCTTGGATGCCTTGTTGTGCAAGTACGGCGGGATCGTAAGGGATTTCGATTTTGGCAATGAGGTCGGCGGCTTGGTCGCTCGTCTTGATGATATAGGAGTAGTTGGATAAGGGGACAAAGGGGCCGCCTGTGGTGCCTTCCATGTAGACGGAGGAGAGGGGTGCTTTGTTCTGGGTTACGACGACGGTGCGGTTCTTAGGGGATAGGATGTCGAGAGTGAGGCCGTCTTGGAAATCTTGGTCTGTACGTTCCATCTGAGGGTGTTAAAATGGAAATTCTATGGCTGTATTCTGGAGAACTTACACCTCCAAGTATTTGAACTGTATCTCCAAATCCAGGGAGTGTTTGGCCCTGACCCCTGACCACATTACAAAAACATTGAAGGTACAACAAAAAAAAGACGAGAGCACCAGGCAATCGTGAGTAGGAAGCCATGCCCGCAGCTATCCATCCGCAAAAGCCAAAGAAAGAGAAGAAAAACAGCAACCGATATCCAGCGTCGAGATGTCTCAGCGCTGGAGGACGAACATGCCAGCAAGATTCGACGAACCTCGTCCAAGAAGACCCCAAGAGCAGCTGGCGGTCTAAGGCAATATATAAAACCGGCGCGAACACACCCACATGATTCTCAGAAAGGGTTTATGCAAGCTTCAGGTTGCCCAGACTTGATGCAGTGCAGCCCAATAAGAGTCGAATGAAGGTGCGGTTGATCGTCACTAGTTGTATCCTTGATCCCTATCCGCTCGATCTCTGCATCCGGATCTCGTTTGGAAACAACGACGAAACAAACCGAGAACAATGTGTGACAGCACCACTCCTAGAGAACTTCACTTCTCCGTAGGATGCGGTGATATTTCAACATTTCAAATTGAATTCGCTGACATCAAGCTGACTGAGCCGGTGTACATGTGTTTGCAGTGGTGAGAGAAAAAGATATGCCAATCGAAATGAGTCAAACAACCACGAACGGAGCGAAAAGACAAGGGAAGGAAAAGAAGATACTTCTAGATGCCAGCTGTGAGAGGCCCGGAAGATCAAACCTGTTGAATCTTGCGGGCAAGAACATGGCTGACGTCCTCTGCAGTCCTCTGCATCCTGGATGTTGAGATTTTCTGGGTGTAGGTGTGTTCTGTGAGTAGGTATGTATATATATACACACGTTCATGTCGGGTTGTGAAGGTTCCTGTATCGGCGGAGACCCCTCCCCTGAATATGGCGGTGAGTTAGTCACGCCGTGGGCGGCAGAATAAAAGCAAAATTTCTACCCCTCCACCCCTCCACCCCTCCTCTGTCTCATCTTGCAATTTCCAGTCAACAAACATCATGGCCGGAACCACTCTTCACCTCCGCTCCGAATGTAAGATCTCACTGATTCTGTATCCCTTCTTGCGCTGCCATGTTGCGCCAAATACTAATGCGTTCGTTCGTCAGTGGGCAAGGCTCTTGAGCACCGATCCGCCCTCACACCAGCTACTGCTAAAGCACTGATCGATGCTGGGTACACTGTGAGAGTCGAGCGTAGTCCGGAGCGCATATTCGAAGATGAGGAGTTCGAGAAGGTTGGAGCTACTTTGGTGCCAGAGGATACTTGGCGCGAGGCCCCTACAGATCACATCATTATTGGGTTGAAGGAGCTTCCCGTGGATGATTGTAGGTCAAAGTCCCCTCATTGGTCTTTGGAATTGCAACACCTGACTTAATCCAGTTCCCCTCAAGCATGTTCATGTCCAATTCGCCCATTGCTACAAGCAACAAGGTGGCTGGGACAAAGTTCTGTCTCGATTCCCCCGCGGCGGCGGTACCCTCCTCGATCTCGAGTTCCTCACCGACGACAAGGGCCGTAGAGTAGCAGCCTTCGGATACCACGCTGGCTTTGCTGGCGCAGCGCTTGCCCTCGAGACCTGGGCCTGGCAACTCACTCACCCCGCTTCCGAGCCCTTCCCAAGCGTCCAAAGCTACCCCAACGAAGATGCCCTGATTGCTGACGTCAAGAAGGCAATTGCTGCCGGAAAGGAGAAAAGTGGCAAGGACCCTCGTGTTCTGGTCATTGGTGCCCTCGGAAGATGCGGTAGCGGTGCTGTAGATCTCTGCCTGAGAGCAGGCGTCCCTACCGAGAACGTGTTGAAGTGGGATATGGCAGAGACGGCTAGGGGTGGACCATTCCCTGAGATTGTGGAGAGTGACATCTTCGTCAACTGCATATACCTCATGTCCAAGATCCCCAACTTTGTCGACTCGGAGAGTCTTGATACCCCCAACCGCAAGCTGTCTGTCATCTGCGACGTCAGCGCCGACACCACCAACCCAAACAACCCCATCCCCATCTACACTGTTGCTACCACTTTTACCGAGCCAACGGTGCCGGTCGAGGTCAAGGGAGAGCCAAAGTTGTCGGTCATCAGCATCGATCACTTGCCCAGTCTGCTTCCTCGCGAGGCAAGCGACGCTTTCAGCAAGGACTTGTTGCCCAGTCTGCTGGAGCTGAAGGAGTGGAAAACTCATCCTGTATGGTCCAAGGCCGAGAAGCTCTTCCAAGAAAAGGTGGCTACTTTGCCGAAGGATCTCTTATAATAAACGAATCTTTAGGGGCGAATCGTGAACCAAAACTTTAGATCTCCTGCTTCTCAAGCCTTTCTTTTTAAGAGTAGAGAAATCTCAAGAATATCCATGACTTCCTTGAGTGACGTTTCTGGTTGTAGAGCAGGCTGACAGTAGTATTGATTCATAGGTCTGTTTACAGAGCCCATAGGGAGCAGGGAGTGTCTCACCCAAGTAATTTACGCTTTCAGATCTATTGCTTGTAGTTTACCATCCCGTCAATTATCTATCTGCCAGAAAGAGGCCTGTAAAGCTATACGCCTGCTATATATAAACAGCTAAACCCGGCAGGCTCAGGCAAGCCAAAACCCCTCTGGGAAGTAGGGTAAAAATATGTAGTGTTCTAGGCCCGCAGAGTCTCCCACCAAAACGCCCCCAAGACCCATCTTTCATTAAGATATGGGCCGTGTCGTATGTATGTATTACAGAAACTTACTATTTGGCGAGCCTCCTCGTGGCCAAAAAAAAAGGGGGAGGGGCTTAATGGACGTGTCCGTCGTGGTCATGATCGTGATGGTCATGTTCTGAGTCAGACGCCGCCTTCGACGATGAACAGCAGCCCTTCGCACCACAGTCGTCTACACACTCCAGGAGGCATGAGTCCTCGTCATCGAGGCCGCATCGCTGTTGGCTGACAATACCATCTAGCCCGACCGCTCCGGGTCGCTCGCCAGTGTGGTCATGGCTCTTGTCAATGCAGTACTCAGGCTGGATGGTCGCGCTGTGGATTCCGTAGGCGTGGAGGCATTGACGGATGTTCTTAGAAAGCATCATGTACCTCTCACCACCGGCCTCACTGATTGGAAAATCGACTTGAATGTGCATGGAAGCTACAACTTGAGTATCGCTCAGCTGCCAGATGTGGACGTGGTGGCAGTTGACGACACCTGAGAGTGAGCTGATGTCCTCCTTGAGCTCGGTGGTGTCAATATGATCTGGCGTGGCTTGGAGGAGGATCTTGGCGGTGGCTTTGGTAAGAGGTATGGTGGATTTGAGAATAATGAGCGTAATGAACAAGGAGACAGCGGGATCAGCGTAGAATCTGCCTGACCAGTTAGAAAACCAGATGATTAGGGCCGCGACCATGACCCCAACGTTCCCAAGGGCATCGCCAATGACGTGAAGAATCATAGCGTTCATTCCCATATCGGCGTGGTTGTGGCTGTGTCCACCGCTCTTGACTTTCTTAGGCTTGTTGTGGTTATGTGCTGCGTGCCACAAATCGTATCTTGGTTTCGGAATTCCATGCTCATGGTCGTGGTCGTGTCTTTTCGATGGCCCCGGTGAGATGATTCCAGAGAGAAGAGCAGTGTTCTCGGTGGGCTCTGCAACAACTCCCTCATCCTCGGACGTGCTGTCGCTCTCGATTTGAGACTTGCTAGCAGCAATGATGTCCTGTCTGAAGGTAGAAGGATGAATGCTGAAGTCATCAGGAGTCGAGTATCGGTTGTTTCTGATGCTGCTCCCTCTTCTTCTGTGCTTAGTGGACTTGCTGGGAGATGAATCAACGTTGGTATTTGCCTCTTCATCCTCCGTAGAAAATCTCAGTTGTTGGGCTGGCCTCTTTGCTCGAGCTACAAGGGCCTCTGGGTAATGGTCTCCAATAGCTCCCTCGTCAAGGTCTTGCTGTCCATGGCTAATGGCATGCGAGTGCTCTGCGTGATGACTGTGGGCATGTCCTTCCTCAGCGTGCGAGATTTCGTCTCCGTGGTCATGCTCCTCAGGGCCATGGGAATGTCCATGGCCTCCGAGAACCAAGAATCCTGCCAAGTTGGAAGCAAGACCTAGCGATCCGACAATAAAAATCAACATTGGATTGCTAATCTCAGGAGGGTCGAGGAGGCGCTGAATAGCTTCAAGGATGATCGAAAGGCAGAGAGCTATGAGGAAAACTGCGTTGAAGGCAGCACCCAGGATTTCCGCACGCAACATCTGCGAGCCATCAGGACATATCCGCGCACCGAGAGAATGGATATACTAACTCCAAATGAGTATTTGTCGGTCGCAGACTTTTTCGTAGCCTCAACAGCCCACAATCCGACAATAAGAGAAATGATATCGTTCAACTACATGGCAGTCAGCATCACCTCCTCCGTCCTCGTCCCCGAGCTGGCATATCAGGTCAATGACTGCAAAGGACCAGTCTGGAAGATCAGAGTTTGTGGAGTAGTGCTCACCATATGAAAGGCATCGGCCATCAAAGCCAGACTGCCCACCCAGATACCCGTGCCCAGCTCCAGGACCAAGAAGAGCATATCGATCCCCAGCATGATCTTTATCCGGGTTGACTTTGACCACCCCATATTGAAAGTGCCAAATGGCGAATGAATGGCGAAAGAAAGAAATCGAGAAGGGAAGTTGAAAAGATTGATAGAGGCGATGGGGCTTGAAGGAGGTTGCGGCTCTTTTTTTATTTTTTATTTTTTCTTCTTCAAGAGCGGCTCAGCGAACTGGGATCGTTACTTATGACCGGACGCGCTGGTCCCTGCGTAATCGCCAAGTTGGTGGTGGCGAGGTACAAGATGCCACAAGCAAGTCCCAGCTGTAAGGATGTGTGGTATAAGCAGCGACTCAGCTAGCTCTCTGTTTGTGTTGCGGTGCGACCTGGACTTGACTGCTGATGCGCCTGCGCCGGGTATTGACAGCGAAATTGAGATTAAGTTCGTCAGGTTGTTGTACAGGAGAAATGTTGTACCGATGAAATAAGAACGAGAAAGACCTGGCAAACGCGAGACGGGTGATCGTTACTAGGGGCATATCACATGATCGGAGCATCGGGGCCAAGGAACAAAGCGGACCCACGGTTATAGGTATCTGTATGACAGGTACCAGGTAGTTTCCTATAGATCAAATGAAAGATACCTAGCTGGGATAAAACAGGGAGAAGAAAACATCGAGTTGATGTATATATATACCACTATATATACACTATTATATGTACACTATTATATTTACACAATGATATACAGACACACCTCTATGCTACCTTACTTCGTGACAAATTCAGGAAGCACAGAGAAGACATCTACGATTTCAGAACGTTCCAAAATAATTGCCTGTACGACGTATAGATATCCAGCTCTCCCTATACTGCTCTACTTAGTTGCACACTGAGGTACCTGATTTGAGCCGAGCCTCCCCGGGTAATGAGTCGGTATCACGACAGATCTTTTGCACTTGTAGGTTTGATGATATAAGTCAAGCTTTGCATTCTTTTCGGCACTACTAAAACCTTCTGCGTCTCAAAGCCTTTCGGGCGCTTGAAGCTTGCGGGTTGGCCAGGAGACTGTGGCATGTGAGAGATGCGCAAGGTCTCCCAGCAATCCGTCTTTTAACTGGCATGGAGGATTATGCCACTGACAGACCCCTTGTGCCACAAAGACCTTCAATGGCCACCCTTCGCCCGGTGGCTCTGGCAGATACGACCTTGCTATCGTGGTTGTTCAGCTCGGATGACCTATCTTGTATGATCACTTCATAGGCCGAGCGAATCAGACCTCTTTGGAGACGCTCACTGCAATAACAAGTACAGTGAAGAGAAACAATATCTATTCATACGTTATCATTCAGCAATGTGCTGCTGGCTTGAACAAAGAATGTGTACTCACCGCAAGGAAGCCAGCCGCAAGAGCGACGATTTCAAAGCCACCGGTGATGGCCTTTCCTCTGACGATTGCGTTTTGCATTCTCCAAATTCGAAAGGCCCCGAGCAACAAGGTGTAGATTGCTGATCCTTGGCAGATGATTGAGAGCGGCTTTCCCAGCACGAAGAAGCCGAAGCCAGGATTTGGGGTGGGTGTAAGCTGAAGTCGGCTACCGACCAAAAACTGGCCATCAGTATCTGATCGTAGAGCAAAAGTCGGCATCGGGTGGGGGTGCGCACTATAGTTGAGCCACAATGGCTCCAAGCATAGATAGAGCGAGAGATGTCCTCAGGTAGCCAAGAAAGGTGCGCTCTAGTGCTGTAGGTGATTATTAGTGACTTTCATCTCATGGAAATTGCGCAGAGTGTCCTTCAAAATGACGGCAGGAAACGGTATATAACTTTACGGTAATCTCTCTCGAGTTTGCCCATCAAACTTCGCCGATAAGCAGAGCTAGAAAACCAGATGCTTGCTTGCACATGGCTTGTTGGAAAGTACTACGTATAGGAAAGCACCACAGATGGCCATACTGAACATGAAAGTTTGCCGGGCTCCACATCCCGAAATTCCAGTCAGGATGTGCACAGTCAGAGATAATGTTTCTGAATCCACCTGGAAAATGTGAAATGTACGCAGAATAGCCAGCGGTCAGACGCAATACAGATAAACTTTAGGAACCGCAGAAAAAAAAAGAAAAGAAAAAAAACCTACCAAGGTGATCTCTACAGGCGCCATGGTCCACGTCGATGCTAATTTGACGGCGCCAAAAGTTACGAAGAGCATAGTTGAAGCGTTCCAGCAAGCTTTCTGGCCTCTTGGACCGTGTGCTGAAAGCTCGCTGGTGATAGGAGGACGCTCGAGAGTAGTTGGTTCTGATACGTTCCAATTCGGTAGATTCTCGCGCGTTTCGATGTGCGGATGAGCGCACCGGAAAAATTGTGATATGCGCCAGATGGGGCTCTTCTGGGATTTCAGCAGGGTGCTCGCTGGATGTTGCCATGGGCGCGGCGGGTGCTGCTGCAAGGGTGACCGTGGGGGTGCGAATCTGATTCTGAAGATCATGAAACCTGGCGCGGTGTCAAAGACATGAGCATGGATGGATTCATTGCAGGAGAACTTCGAAAACTGAAATCTGGCTAAGTGAAGTTGTGAGTCGGTGTGACTTGCTTGAATTAATCCTTGCAAGAGCGGTGGTCTGGTGTTGGCGGTCTTGGGGACAACACAATTGATTATTTTATTATTTTATAGCGACAGACTACGGTATATGATTTCCAGTATACAGCATGGCGAGATTAGAATATACAACTATCGTACCGGTATATGCCTGCTCATTAATTAGCTGTTTAAACCAGCCCATCTACCTTACCTCCCTGTATCTATTGATTGTCCGCATCATTTATGGGTTACTCTCTCTGTAAAGGTTTTTCAGCGATTGCTGGCAGGCAACGGTAGACCACGATAACATCCTTTTCTATCTCGTACATTACATACCGGTACCTACATTCATGCCGGTTTGCTGGATCGCTGCGTAGACACTCCGTCTTCCTACCGATATCCAGGCTCCTGCTTCTCCTCCTCGGGGTGAAATCCGTGGCGCAGGAACCAAGAGACACTCATTGGAAGGTCCATCACAAGAAACACTCTCGTAATAATTGATGCTTTTCAGCTGGTGCTTCCGAGCTCGTGCTACTTTATTTTCAAGGGAGGCTTACTATCAAGGGATCGTCTGGTTCAATATACAGGCCCGCTACAATGGCAGAATCACCAGATAGCCAGATCATCGATCCTATCTTCGACAACTATGCCCAAAAGTCGGGGGAACTGTCAAGCGGAAATATGAACCATATGCCCGTCTTGGAGTTCTCCCCACCGGATAGCCCAGTTGCCAAGCATGTGGATTCAAACCAAGCTACTGACAAAAGATCATCTGCTTGCAGTTTGGCCGCACCATTCCATTGACGCTGAAAGAACTGGTGTAGCCTCCTCACTTACAGATAAGTCGATCATTGATGGATTGATGTTGACGATTCCCAGGTCTCGCTTCTGACAGCAGCAGATTTCTGGCGATCAAACTCGATACCCGAGAAAGGAATCACCAGCATTCAAGACCAGCGATGGGCCGAATGGAGCTCGAGGGGCGATATTCAAGGCCGGCACAAAGGTACCGGCATGTCACTGATGCTCCTTCCCTAATTACAGTCTAACAAGGACTAGGCGGCGCTCTTTCCCTGTGGAGTCTCCCTAGCCGCATCATGGAACAAGGATCTTCTCTTCCAGGTTGGACAACACTTACTTAGCAGAAGGAACAAAAGCTAGATCCGCCCAGGTACTGTTGGCACCAACAGTACCGGTACCGGTATGCTTACATCGCGGACCCCTTGGAGGACGGAACTTTGAATCCTTCTCGGAAGATCCATTTTTGGACGGGAAGCTGGCTGCTTCATACATCAATGGACTCCAAGGGGGAGGAACAGCGGCCACGATCAAGCGTCAGTCATTGTCGTTCTCTTTTACGTGTCGATACTAACCAATGACTATAGACTTCGTTGCTAATGAGCAAGAGACTGAGAGGCTCAAGATTGATTCTATTATTTATACACGAGCGTCCACTTCGAGAACTTTACCTGAAGCCCTTCGAGATTGCTATCCGAGAATCCAATCCATAGGCTGTAATGTCTTCGTACAACCTCATCAATGGCGCTCATGCAAACATGAATGAGTACACTCTGAAGAACATCCTTCGAGGAGAGAGGAGATATGAAGGGTAGATATACTATCCTAGAAGTACCCGAGGTCATTTGTGACTGGGGAGGAACCAACTGTTTCGTCGAATCCATCGAGCACGGATGTGACATTGCAATACTCTGTGTCGACTCTATGGCGTGGCGAGAAAACCGTTCGCGCTGTTGAAAATGGCAAGTTGGGCAGAAAAGCAGTCGAGGCCGCTGCAGCAAATATCCTACGCCTGGTGGAACGAACGAAGGGTGGTGATATGTCAGCAGAAGCGTTAGAACGTGATGATGATCGGGAGGAGACACGCCTACTGATCAGAAATGCAGGAGTCGAAGGTCTGACGCTGCTGAAGAACGAAGGAGGACTATTGCCTATCAAGCTATCTCAAGAATCGCTGTCACTGGACTGAACGCTACCCGAGCCATCGCCGGGGGTGGAGGAAGTGCTTTTCTCAACCCATACTACATCACCCTTCCTCTGGATAGTATCAGAGCGGTCGCAGAGCAAAATGTATCTTTTGCTATTGGATGCCAAACATACAAATGGTTGCCGCTGGCAGCTGAATACTGCGCAACAGCTGTGGGTGATCCAGGTGTTACACTGGAATTCTTCTTGGGGGATGAGTTTGATGGGGAACCAAAGGTCGTCCAACACCGGACAAACACGGATCTATTCCTTTGGGACTCGGTACCTCTCGAAGTAGGCAACGTTTGGTCTTGTCGTGCTAGAACGACCCTTACACCCCAGACGACTGGGCTGCACATGATGAGCTTCTCGAGTGTCGGTGCTGGGAGATTGTACGTCGCTGGAGAAGTGAAGGTCTCTACATAGGCTATCGACACTACCAGCACCTGAAGCTCACTCCCCTCTTCCCTTTCGGCCACGGACTCTCCTATACTACCTTCACCTACGGGACGCCTACAATATCCCACGCGGTTCTCTCCTTCGCCCCAGACTCCAGACTTACAGTCTCCATTCCTGTAACCAATAGTGGCTCCGTTCCCGGCACCGGAATGGTACAGGCATACATCCACGACCCGAAGTCACGTATCCCCCGTTCTGAGAAGGAGCTACAGCGTTTGCGAAAGTGTGGCTGCAGCCGGGTAAGACGAAAGATGCTCTGTTGAGCTTGGACGAGTACCCGGTGGGCTATTGGGATACAGATGCCGGCGAGTGCATCGTCGAGGAAGGCATTTTTGAGGTGTTGATTGGCGCGAGTAGTGCGGATATCAGGTACAGTCTCCTCTCATCTTTGTTTCTTTCGTAATTTTTTTTAAAAGATATCCAGTGTTGGGTGAACGGAGCTAACAAAAGCAACAGGGAGCGAAGTTCTTTTGCAGTGAAAACGTCGTTTTCTTGGATCTTCTAAGGGGGTTCTGGTGGGCTTTAGCTAGTTAGTTACCTACCTTAGTTCTACTCTAGTTAGGTAGTAAATGAGAAAGTGTGTCCGGCTTCTCTCTGAATATGTTGTTGCATGGAATATTGGAATGTCGTCGAGAGCCCGTAGAACCAAACGGCAGCGCACTACTGACTGTTATTATAAAATCTTTGCATTTTCATCTCGTTGAAATATTCCCGTGGTCAAAAACTTGCTGTTAATTAACATGATCACCTCAA